TTTAATTTAATTATTAAATCATTAAAATTTAATATAAATTATGAATTAATAAATAAAAAATTATATATTTAATTTATGTATTAAAAATTTTAAATATAATAATTAAATTGTTAAAATTTAATATAAATTATGAATTATTAAATGATAAACTTATTCTTAAAATTCATGAATCCGTCTTTTAAATATAATATTTATTTAAATCCTCCTGGTTGGTATAAAATAAAAAATAAAAAAATCCTTCCGGTCACTCACTCTGGTGACTCATCTCTAATTCACTTCCAAACGCTGCAATTTGTAAGTTTTCAGTCCTTGTGCTTCTGAGTAGATGTTTAGTTGTTTACCATTTTGATGATTTTGTCTCTTCCATATCTGTCGTTTTTGTTGGGAATCTAAGACTCTGAGTTTTTCAGCTGTGTTGGATTTATTTTAGCTGCCATTCATTCTCTGACTGTGCTGTTTATTTTTTCTGTTACTTGCAAATTTTTTCATGGACTGATAATTTTGTATATTTGGTAATTGGTACGTTAAGCTAATAGCAGAAAACGTACTGAATTGGTTTGCTTAAGCTGATATTGCTTCATATTATAAGTTTTGATATGTTCAATGGAGCTGTTTGCTTACCTTAGGAATCTGATAATATGATGATTAAGCCAATCCATTGAATCTTCAGTATAGTGACTCATTTTAATTCATTTGATTTTTTATGGGGTTCTCTTGGATGCATGGTATTTTGAAACCGCAAAGACGAATAATGACAATTCTGTATTCATTATTCTCGTATGAAAACACCTCTCTCTCACTTGATATGACCCCCTTATATACATACATACACATAAAGAAAAGAATGCACATCGCACGGTGAATAACAAGCTAACAAAGAAAGGTTGTTTTACTTTTAAAAGTCACATGCAAAAGCAAGTGTAATTCCCATTAGCATATTTCAAAGTAAGTCCTTTAGTCATTTGTAATATCTTAGTTATCACAATAGATAATTTATCTATTCCTGGTTTGATCTTTATGCTTGAGTTTTGACAGTACTGTAAAAATTTTCATCCTCCAGCCATGAACAACAACTTAATTACTATCGAGCTTGTTGAGCTAAAAAATTGTTCCTCTTGTTTGTTTTTTAAGGTATATATCACAAGGTTTTTCAATGCCATCTTATGTTAAATTAGATTTGATATGTTATCATGTTCACTAGATTAGCATGCTTTTAATTTAAGGAAATTTTTTATTGGTCACAAATGGTTGATATTATTTAGATGTGATACATTATTGCTGGCTACTTTCTAGTTTCTATTTCAAATAGGTAAGATCACTTCCTTTTACTGATTGGATTAAAATTAAATATATATTTTTTTATTTTTTATTTTATATATTCGTGTTTTATCTATTTTAAAGCATAATATGCCTGTAGTCCCCCATTCTATCTCTGGATGGCAAAATGTCCCAATGGCCCATCTGTAAAATTTTTAGTGAGTGCTGGTAATATTCTCATCTGCTTATTATCATAAGATTAATACAAATACTATTCTACTTTCTATGATGGTGTAGAGTTTTGATCTCTGTCTAAACTTCTTCTGGTATCATTTTGCTGATCTCTCTTTTTCCCTCACTGCTATCCAGTGCACACAATGGAGGAATTGAAGCTAACTGGAAACCAACTAATAGGTTCCCGTCCTATTTTGACATTTTCAGCAAATTTTGAAAAAATACACATTGGAAACTGTTAAAGGAGATATTGTTACAGGTATGTCATGTATGTGGTTGGTTTCTTTCCTAGAAAGTAGTATTTCTTTATTGCCCATAGTTTCATCTGGAAGAAAGACTAGGAAATATATGTAATCCACATGTTGATTACTCTTGTATCTACCATTTCATATAGAACAGTAAGGTTAGTTCAATAATTTCATATTAGATTGTTAATTCATGGAGTTGTACACCATGAATTGCTAGTCTATTTAAGAATTGTTTAATGTGCTCTTTCCTAATTTATTTGGGATTTTGCACTATGTTTACCATATATCTGTCCAGGAGTATTTTATTAACCTGTCATTACTGACCAGAGAATTTTACTAATGTTATGTTCATCTGTTGTCAAAAGTTTAAATTAAGATGTGGAGATCTGTTCCATGCATATATTCCTATCCTCAATTTTCTCTTCTTATGACACTCTTGTTCATATATTGTATTTGAGTGTGATCAGTGGACATTTTGCTGTGTATATGAGTGTGCTTTTCGGTGAATAATTAGTAAAACTTGGTGCAATTTTGATTGTTGCTGATATACCATATATCTTTATTTCTTTCAGATATTTGAAACGCCAAAGGACAATAGAAAGTCTAAGCCATTCCATGATCACGCTTTTTTTTTTCTCAATAGTTGATGACAATATATGGTTTCAGAATTACCAGGTTTGTGCTTGTAGTACAAGATGTAAAGAATCTCCATATACATCCTTTACCTATTGCATTAGTTTAGATGTTGAAATCCAGAGATTTGTTGATTTTGGCATCCATTCACTGAAGAATCAGAGTTTCTATTCTTAACATTTCAACTTGAAGGATTTTAGGTGCATTAACGAATAGACTTGCGTACGAAAAAATAATGCTTAGCCACAACTTTGATGACCATGGATAAGGGACCAATTTGACAAGAGTTTAAATTTGATTTGCTACCAATGTAAAACATTTCATTCTATCAATGAATTAAGATATTCCACTGTTTTGAATGAGTGGCTGTGGTTCCATATGGTTCACTGGTAGTGCAAATTGCAAAAGTCCTAGAACTAGCAATAGGTCAAAATTGAATCCTTATTATACGTACATATCAGTATTTTTAACAAATAAGTGTATTGAGTCTTGTTGGCAGAATATGTAATAATATATATTAATGTTTCCCTCTTGTAACACACTGCGATATTTGTTGTGTTGCAATATTTGTTGTTGATGCTGTTTGTCCCATATGCTTTGGAAAAGTTAGTATTATTTTAGTCAGATTTGATGCCAAGTTGGGAGCAGGATATATATTTTGCCATTCAACTTTGAATCATTGTAAATCCCTTGTCCATCACAACAAGCTCTACAATATCTTTTTTACATTTTCTCCCAAATTCCAAGGTTGCTTACTTTCATTTTCTCCCATGATAGTATTTACAGTCAAATCATTATAAACAAACCCATCAATTAAATTTAAATTTATAATATAAGAAATCTGAACTAAATCTGGACAAGGTCATCATTTGTCATTGGTGTTACATGTAAGAATATGAACAAAAAACCACATTGACGTGGGTACATTAGAAAGGACCACCACAGTTAGGAGCAAGACACCCTCGCATTACAGGTCCTTTAATCTTCAAACTCAGCTCTTCGTTCAAATCCCTTTAAAAAAAACTTAATATTTTCTGGAGTTTAAAAATAAACTTCATCCACTGCAGTTTGATCCAACGACTTCCATTGACAGTATCCAACTATTTATTACTTTTTATTTTATTTTATTTATAAAAAAAACTTAATATTTTAAGGCCAATATGGATGCAATTTAAAAATTAAATTGTAGAGGATATGAATTTGATTCCACAATATAACAATATAATGAGAAAGAAAAGGAAAAAGATTACCAATTCCTAGTTAACACCTAGATAGAGCAATAGAGAAATATATGAAAATGCCTACATAGCATCACTGAATAAAAAAAATGTTTAGAAGGAGAATCAACTAACTACTAATACAGCCAAATTAGAAACAAAAAAAGTTCTTTTATAAAGAGCAAAATACAACAATTTAGTTCTTTTAAGATGTTGCAAAAGGTACCAAAAATCTTGCAATTGAATAAGGATTTTTTTTTCAATCTAATTTAGCAAACAAAAATGTCAGGAAAAAAGTAAACATTCAAACTGCACATTTTTTCCTTACATCCATCTATTCAAACAAAGTACAACAAAATGAACAAATTAGTTCACATTATACGCTTATAATTATCCAACGACCATAATCTCCACCCGCTACCTCCCCATCTATGATTTTAGTTTCCAACAAGATTCAGGGCAAACGTCATTTTAATGCATGTATATATTTGTTATCCATTAACTAGGTTCAAAAAGATCCTTAAAGGAAAGATCGAGAACAATTATCCACAACATGATTCATTGCCTATGAATATTTCAAAAAGTGGACGAATTGACAACCTTCTAATGTTGTGGAATGCTATTATTGTCATCAACTTGAAAAAAATCAACACTACTTCTCATTAATGGTTGTAGTTTGTGTTCGGTATGCCTTAATCAAGTAATTTAAATTTAAATCCTGAGCTAAAATAGATTATATTAAGAAGTGAATAGTTATCTAATGTGCACTCATAATTAATTTTTACTTAATGATAGATATTTTTTCATACAAATATCATGGTTAAAAAAAACTTAAAAATAGTTTCATTTCCTTACCTTTTCCTTTTGAAGGAGAAATGACGAGGGAAAAGTTATATTCCCTTACAGCATGCGACTGTTGAAATTGTGCAAATGATTGCAGCCACTTGCAATTCCACAATGCTGCTATTCTTACACGTCAATTTCTAAGATTTTCCCCTACAACTCCCTTTGGTTGAAAAATAAAAAAGAGAAATCCACTTTATTTCTCTCCCTTATTTTCTCTGATAAAAGAGAGGTGTAGAGGAAAATGACAGACAAAGAAAATGAAGTGTAAAATGTAACAACATTGATTTCTATACCATCCATTATGCAACTTTTCCTGAAATGTGAGAATATTATAACAGAATGTGGTGATAAAATATGAAAAGGGTTCATTATTTTTTGACACAACAGGTTGGCTCAAAGGGGTGACCTGAGAACACAAAGTAAATTCACCTTATAACATATATCATATGGCAGTGGAAATCAGCCTTGTGTTCTCAGATTCACTCCTCTGAGATAAACCATTTGTTAGACTATAGGAGGAACATTTGAATGAGCAAAAGAACACCTTTACTTCATAGGTTCAGGATATTTCTTTTTATATGGACATGGTTGGGTGACACAATGACCTTATGTCCTTTCATTCACTATGTTGTCATTCAGAAAACATCCTTAGTTTTCTAAGTTTATAATTTTCTTATGAGTTTAATTTTGACATATGTCATTATAACACATTCAACTAATTAAATAGTATCATAAGTATAACTTTTAAAAATAGCTATCACAAAAACTCTAAAAAATTGGTCGAATAGAGTAAGACAGAATCTCATCAATGTAATTTTGAATCCTATTTTGTTTATTTGGGGTGAGATAAATTTAAATACAGTTGTAAGAATTCTGAGTTTTAAGATGATTTTGCCTTGGATTGAGATATTGCCATCCCCTCTGGCCCTCTCCCCCAAGTTTAGTCCTATTCAATATTTTCCATGACAATTTATAATTAATATTTGAATTAAACAATTATTTTGTATGGATATGTTTGAGGGGATTGGTAAAGCCTTATATCCCGACATGGACTCACTATGTTGTCATTCTTTTTTATTTTATTTATATAACTATGTTGTCATTGTATCGACAGCATGAGAGAGATGTTATCATCTTTCCTACATTATTGACATTGGTGACGTAGCTTGCGTTAGGAAACACACTAAATCACTAAAGATGTTGTCATGTAATGTTCAGTGGCATTCCCGTAATTTCAAAATTAAACCAACTGAACATGATAAAAGAGGCCCAAAACATGGTAAGTTTTTGCATGGGGATAGCGAACATGTCTCCAAGAAAAAATGCAGTTGTAGGCTTGTAGCCGTAAATTTGTGATTTAAATTAAAAAGTAAAAAATTAATACATAACATACAACATATTTTTAATTTAATTCAAATATAGCTTATGGAAATTAATGTTTCTTATTTATAAATATTATTATTTTATAACATAAATGTTTTTTTTAATATATTTTCTTTTTTTGTCTTCCTATTTTTGATTGTAGAGATTTCAAACATAGAAATACAAGAAGCTAGCGAACAACACGTTAGGAACATAGAAAAGTGTTGGTGTGGACAAGGTCAAAAGTCCTAAAGATAAGGCCAAAGCCATATTAGTTATCCATTTCCACCTTAAATTTTCCAAATCTTTGTTTCCCTTTCCCTTACAAATACCCACCCCCACCCTTCACACAAACACATTAACCCTAACAAACACAACAAAAACTATACTTCTATTCTCATTATCTCTTTCTTGCAACAATGGATTCCAACTACAACTCCTCCTCCGACGGTCAAGAACAACAACACCGTAACTTCTCCCGCGACGAGAACCAATCTTCTTCCAAGTCATTGACCGGCAAGGTGGCCAACGCTGCTGGTGACATTCTCAACGCCGCCAGTAGCAAGTTTGATGACAAGGGTGCCATCGGCCAGTACGTTGACAAAGCTGCTGATTATCTCCACCAGTACGACTCCACCACCACCGACAATACCGGTCGAACCGGTAGCGGTCATGGTAGTAGTGACACTTACACCGGAAGTGGCTATGGTAGTAACAAACAAAGTGGTTATGGAGGTGGAGCCTATGGTAGTGGTGATGGTCGTTCTAGTGGCGGATACGGTGACAAAAGCCAATCTGGTGTAGGCTATGGTGGTGGTGATAGTCTTTCTAGCGGTGGATATGGTAGTAAAGGTAATTCTGGAAGTGGGTTTGGTAGTGATGGTCTTTCTAGTGGTGGATATGGTGGTGGTAGTCTTTCTAGTGGTGGATATGGTGAGAAAAAGAATTCTGGGAGTGGTTATGGTGGTAGTGACACTGGTGGATATGGTAATAAGAGCCATTCTGGTGTTGGATATGGGAGTGATAGTGTTTCTAGTGGTGGATATGGTGATAAAGGGCATTCTGGAAGCGGGTTTGGTTCGAGTGGAGGGTATGGTGATGGAGGACACTCAAATAGTGGGTATGGTTCCACTGGAGCTGGAGGTTATGGTGATGGAGGTCGTACTAATAGTGAATATGGTTCTGGTGGAGGGTATGGCGATGGAGGACGTTCTGGTGGAAGCTATGGTGGCGACTATCGTTCTGGTAGCAATAACAGTAGTGGTGATGGACGCTCTGGGGGAGGATATGGGAATGAGAGTTATGGGAATGATAGTTATGGAAGTGGTGGGTATGGTAACAAGGAGGGTCGTTATGGAGGTGGACAAGGTTATAGAGATTAGAAGAAGATTCATCAAGGTCAAGTTTGGAAGCTACCAGAGTTTTCTTGACCAAAAGTTAAAGACTGATTTCTTGAGTGGTGCTGGCTAGGGCTTGCAGCATGTATCTATATTTATGTATATTTTGTTATGAATAAGTTTGAGGCACACTTTAAATTTTGAGTGCTTTTTTGTTTAGGGTGGAAGGCAATGTATTGTTGTGGCTAGCTAGCTGCATGTTTATGTTGTCACGTACATTCGTCCTAGTTTTGTTTTGTTTTGGACTTCTACTATACTATATATATATGCTATCCCACCCTGTAATATTGGAGGTGATGTTTATGCCATGAAAATGTATATGCATTTGATCATGTGTTAATAAAAACAAGTTTATTTCATTTGCTTTTGTGGTTTCTTTGGTTTTAATTTGTTTTCAGTTGCTCTCTTGTCAACTTTAGGTGGCCTTTGTGTCTCTTTGATTTACTTTCTTAATTAGTTATTATTCTACACTTGTTATTTTTTTTATTTATTATAAATATGTGATTAATTATTACTCTGCACATAGTATTTGGTTTGCCACTTCACTTAACTTTTTTGTTTCCTCTCATTTCATTTAAATACAAAGATTGATTAAACATGGTCAAGGATGGAGTAATTATAATTCAAGCATTACATCTCTTGTTGTTATTCATTTTTCAAATTTATTTTTATGGTTTTAGTTCATTTATTTGCAATTCTATTATTAGGATGGTTTTACCATGTAGACATCCCCATAAGGATAATTAACCTTTTCATTTTTGTATCTAACATAATCCTGATTCTATTACTTGTACAACATATTTGATTTGATTGGATCATTGAATTTTTTTTTGTTAAAAGAATTCGATCATACTATATATAAATGTATTTTTACTTGAACAAAAAAAACTATAAGTTAGACATAAAAAAAATGTCTTTCTTTATTCACTGTAGCAAAAATTAATTAGAATCGTGTCTGGAACTAATATTTTAAGTGGAAGAGTTAGATAAAAGACATTGCACTTCATATATCCTAAGGTTAGCAAATTAATTAATAGAGACAATAATATTTGAATTTATCGACTTTGGAAATAATAGTTACTTGTTTCTCATTTTAGTGTAATAAGCAACAAGACTCGTTTGAATGTGGCTATTACATCATGTATTGGATGAGAGCCATAGTTTCTGCGTGTATTACTGATTCTTGGGGGCAGGTAATTCATATATATCAAAATTTATTTAAGTATATTTACCTTTATAATAATTAACATTGCATATTAATGACACTTAAATTAATGTTTCAGGTCTTTCAAGATCCATCTCCATTGCCCGAAGATGAG